TTGCCTTCTCTCTTTGAATCCTGCCCGAGCTGCACATCCGCAGAGATGTGAAATGCCTTTGCCTTCTCCTTCACCTCAAAGCGTGGGGCAGCACGGCCAGCACGGCCCCGCTCCCTGTCTGCCTTTGTCAGGGACTGTGCTCTGCCCTCTGCATGTGTCTGCGCGCTCTCCTCATCCTCTCCTCTCTGCCAGGTTTCTGCCAGGAATGGGTGAGATGAAGGAGGTGGTGAGGGGCTGGGGGAATCCCTCTGAACAGGGAGAAACAGGCAGAGAGAGGCGGTTCCCAGAGGAAGCCTGGCAGGTCCCATCAAACTCCTGCTCCCCAGGTGACACCTTCCCTTTCCCCTGGAACCGCTGGCTCTGTCAGGGTTTTACTCATCCTTGGAAAGCATTTTCCCTGCCAGGGGCGGGAAGGCAAATTATGCAAGCCCTGGGTACCCTGAGGCTCTGCCTTTCTCCAGCACAAAATACAAACACCAGGCTCCCTGCCTGTCTCTGTCTCCTTCCTTTGGTCTTTCTTCTCCTTTCCTCCTTTTTCCTTTATTAGCCTGAACTCAGTCATTAGGAAGTCAGGGCAGCTCCCATGTCAGCAGCCTCTGGGGCAAACGGTGTAAGCCACAGGGTAAGCTACGTACGAGAGCTCTGTTCTGATCACTTGGCTCCGGACAAACCTCACACAACAGGGCATTGTGGTGTAAAACCGGTGTACCCGTAGAACAGATCTCCTGGTAAAAACTAAGCGTAAAACTTACTCTAGGTGCTTCATTTCAGTGTCAGGGCTGCTCTGCTCCCTCACTGAGGGCTGTGGCAGACCCATGGTGTAGGTGTAGGGATTGCTCATCGCTCTCCTGAACTCAGAGACCGGAGCAGGAGCAACACCTAAGTTAGATACCTTGAGTGGGCGGGCTGAATACACGTCGGCTTTCAACACCTACTAATTTATTTCCATTGATTTTTTTTCAAAATAGGACTCATCACGGAGAGGCTGAGACATCTCAGCTGTTCAGACTGAGTCTTGCTTTCCATTGTAAGCCCTGTTTTTCTTCCTGTTGTTTCACAACTCTCTCCCTTCTCTAAAAAAAAAATGCAATAAATAAATAATAAAAAAACCCAAACACAAATATCACCCCTCACATCGTGCCTCTATGTATGGTGGCTAATAGATCATTTTTTCCACCAGATGAGGGGAGGGCAGCCTTGCAACAAGGAACTGCCTATTGTCCTCGGACAAGTGTTGCTCTCCTGCCTAGTGATAAGAAAATAACTGAGGAGATGAGTTCAGCTGTTCACAAGTTTGAGAGCTCTAGTGGTGGTGAAAGTATTTTAATAAGAAACCCTGCTACAGGCTCTTAGGAAATTTGTTTTTGTTGTGGTTTGCCTGTGGGGCCGTTGCCAGCTAGCACAGCTGTGACCAGACCTTGACAAGTTGTGATGCTCTAATGGGACATTTTCATGGTTCAGCTACTTCAGGTAGCCTTGAAACATCTTCCCAGTGTATGTAGTGTTGGTTTCAAACTCTTGTCCTGTGACATCTGGGACACCAATAGCCTCACAGGCCTCCGCAATCCTCCCACAGGCCAGGTGAGGGGAAGATTCAGTCATCCCCATTAGTTTTAGGGGTTTGTGGGACAAATGTTAAGCTAATTTCACAGAAGTAAGAGAATCAAAGGAGAGCCCACCCAGCTCAAGGTACAGCATTTTTAAGGACATACATCCCTGTTGAACACTACGCCAGTGAGACTGGCCCAGCCTTTAGTGAGTCTCAAGACCTCACTAGGGAAAAATCTGTCTCTAAAAACAGAAAGAGTAAGGAAAAGCAACTGAAGCCCGAGTGGCTTGAATATCACTTTGCTCTATTTCCAGGCAGGGTCATAGGTAGATGATTAGTCAAATTCCAAACATCCTCTTCCTTGCTGTCTGGAGGTTCAGCAGGGATTAGCTTTTTGTTTCTGATGTCGAGCTTCTAAAAACTGCCCAGCATCATCCACATGAAAATAAATAACTCTATTTCTATCCCAGCTAAGATGTAATGTAGCCAGTTATTAAAAAAAAAAAAAAATACGCCACACCACACATATTGCCCCCCAAAATCAGACCCTGCAGCACCTCTTGTTGCTACTGAGCAAGACACAAGCAGCAGTCCCTGCTAGCTTTCTGCTGAGTCCTTCTTCTCTCCGGCGGCAATATCTCTCCCTGCTGAGGAGTTTGATCAGTCCTCCCACACACAGGCTGTTCTGTCCTGGCCAGGCAGCCACTACAGCGTGGGGGACCCCCTACACAGCTTGAACCAGGTGGCGTGAAGGTGGTGGAGCCACACTAGCTTATTTGAGGGCAGAAATCCTCAAAATGCACCTTAGCCTCCATTGACCCCTTATGAACCTTGAACACATAGCGGGGTCATGGACATTCAGGACCTAGCTGCTCCCAGCTCCCTCTACCCAGATAGAAGGGCTTCCAGAAGCTGGTTTGGCCATATCAAATCCTCAGCTTTCCCCCTGCTGAACACCAAGGAACCCAGGGCTAAAGTGTTTCTTTGGCTGGTGCCGTCTGGAGTGAGGTGAGATGGACCCAGATCCTTTTAAAACCTTTTTTTTGAAGCCTCCTACAGATTTCAGAAGGAGTTGCAGCACTCAGGTAGACATTAGGGTAGCAACTCCACCCTGCTGGGTGGTTAGAGAAAATTATCATCACTTGAAATGGCTGGTACGCTTGCTGTCGGGACAGGATGGAGAATGAGGGGAATTCTAAGAGCGTCCTGAGGAATTTGGGGTGGGACAGGGCTAACGTGGCTGGAGCATCTAAGATAAAGACTTACTAAGATCTCCAGCGGTAGAAATGAACAAAGGTATGCCTTGCATTTCCACTTCCTCCCCCTTGAGCTCCAAAATTGAGAGCAAGCCACTTTAGACTTGGTTTGAGGGACTCCCAGGACACTCCTTATCTCTGCACTCATGCACCTCAGATGGCCCAGGCGTCGGAGCTGACATGGCTCTGACCAACTCCCCACCTGTAGGGAAATCTTCCCCCTGTTCTTCTGGGTTAGGGTGAAGGGAGGTGATGCCCTGTGACTCAAGAGCACCTTGACACGCTGCCTTAATGTAGGACCTTCCATTTTGTGTCTACATGACCTGTCTCTGTGATGGGAGGAGCAGAGGAGCTATGCTATTTTAAGATAGCTATGGGGGACCCCCAGTCCTCCTTGTGTCGCTGTGCTTCCTGACCAACGCCCACATCCATGAGACCAAAGTGAGGTTCAGGGGTGTAGCTAGCCAGCCTGGGAGGTGTTGTCAGGTGCCTGCTACAGAGGAGCATTTGGTGGGCTGCCGGCTGCTCAGTTCTGGTAGCTGCTCCTCATACCCAGGCACTTGGGATGGTGCATATGTGAGTGCTGGTGTGAGACCATGTGTTTTAGAGAGGGTTTGGCTGCAAGAAACTCACAGGCACCTAGATAGTCTAAAGGAGCATGTGTGATACTGCAAGATGAGGCCACTGGTATGCCAGTGGGTGTATGTATGTGAGAAAGGAAGAGAGAGGGGGAGAGTGAAGGAGAACACATGGATGCCCAGGGATGTGTGAATGAGACAAAATTTGCACGTAGCTGTGCATGCGAGCGGCTCGAATAGAAGCGTGTGCGTAGCATAGAAAAAGCAGGGAAGATGCTTGGGATTCAGAGTGAATGCCTGCCGAGCGCCTGCGGTGCATGACAGTGCAGGAATGTATCGGTGGATACGAGCCTGCACAAAGATGGTGCAGAAACCCCTCCTGGTCGTGCCTGGAGTGTGGGCTTTGCCAGTGTGCAACCCCACGCCGGGAGATCACTCGTATGCACATGAGAGGGCGTGCGTATGGGTGTTTTTTCAATAGGATATGACTCCTTCTTGAACTCACCTGTTAGCAGCCTTCCCCTCCCCATCCCTCTCCCCCCACAGCAAATATCTGCTTGCTTAATTTCCCTTCAGATGTTTATTACATCGTGGAGATAATCATGCAGCAAAATACCTCCGGGTGCCACGAGCAACACCAGACCGTCTTACAGGAACGTGTAAATTTCTCTGGCTTCTTTTTTTTCCCCTGCACACAAAGAGATGGAAGATATTAAAGCCGCCTCTCTCCCTGGAGCTAGTGCTGTAGCAGGGCAAGGAAGGCGGCGAGTGGAGCTCAGAGAAATGGGCTCCAGACTGAAACAGTGAGAACCTGGGGCCAAAAAAAATAACAAACTACCGTGCCGGGAACTCCTCTCTTCTTATCTCTTGCCGAGGAGGCAGGAATTTCTGTCCCCATTCCTCACGCGATATTAAAGCCACATTATACAGGTTACTGCAGCATTAGTCATTTTTAATTAATTTATCATTTAAATTAACACACTTTTTATTTTGTCAGCAATGGACTGCTACTCCCTCGCTAGATTTTTCGCTTGATACCCAGCCAAGAGGAGGGTGGCAAGTTATGCTCCACCCATCTCCTCTCCTTCATAAAAGGAGCAGCCCCAAGTGCCAGTTTAGTCTCTCTTGCAGCTCGCAGACTAAAATAAAGCCTCGTCTCTCCTGCAATTTACCTTTTCTGCATTTTTTTGGTTTTTCTTTCTTGTTGCAACAGAGTGCAGGAGGCAGCATCAGCGGCTCTGCTCTGAGGCTTGTCAAGGCTCAGCACACGCACACACACACGCACGCACGCACGCAACCCAGAGTGAAAAAATTTGCTCTCACCTGTCTCCAAACCCAAAGCAAACCTCCCGTCCAAGCAAACTGCCAACACTTGGAACGAGAAGGCACCCGAGCCAGAATCTAATGTAAGGCGAAAAAATTCAATGTACACTAGCAACTTTTTGCTAAAAAGCAAGAGGGCATAAGGAAGGAAAGGAGCATTTTAAGAAAAGGACACCTTAAGGAAGATTTCATTTTTTGGATTTCGCATCAAACTTCGGAAAAGTTTTTTTTTTCTGTGGGTTTGTTTGTTTGCTTGTTTTTTGTTTTGATTTGTTTTGTTTTTTTTAGTTATTATTCTGTTACTATCATCTTTTTCTAAGAACATTGAGACATTGTTACCTGCATGTAAAAGCTTTTACATATATATATTTTTTAAAAAAGGAAGAATACCAAGAGGAAGAATAGCATGTGGACCACCTAGCCAAGGCACCACTGAAGCATCCCTTGCGGCAAGGGGGACGTAGACTCTGGATGTGTATAATTCCGAGGGACTGCATTTTTTTCCAGCCGGGCTTATGAGATAGCGCAGAGGCAGGCGAGTCACCGAGAATTACTTCTGTCTCCCCTCACCACCACCACTACCACCACCTCCACGTCCTCTTCCAGAGGGCTCCTGCGATTCTCCCACCGCAGCCCGGCTTGGAGGGACATGGGAACTCGCGGCGCCTTCGATGCCTGAGGCCGGGCGGCCGCGGGGCTGTCTGCGGGAAGCGCTTCCCTGCCGGGGCTCGCCGTCCATGTGCCCGCAGCCGGCGGGGCCTGGAGTCGGGATGAATTTCGGCGTGGTCTTCGCGTTCATTCTCTCCCTGCCCCTGGCCCGCATGGAGGTGAGTTTCCGCCGCTGGCAGCGGGCGGTGCTGCCGAGCTGCCAGCCCCGGGATGGGGGGAGAGCCGGCGGCGGCCGCGCCCGCCCCGCAGGTGCGGCGGGGGAAGCCCGGGGGCGGCAGGGCGGGAGCGGAGGGCGCGGAGGGGGCTCGGGGCCCGGGCGGGCGGGCGATTCCCGACCCCTCTCCGAGGGAGGGACTGCGGCGGGTGCGCCAACGGCGGGCAGCGACCGCTGGAGCGGGCACCCCTCTGGAGCGGGCGCTCCCTCGGGACGGGGCCGCCGGAGGCGCTTTGCCTGGGAATACATTCCCCGCCTCCGTCTGCAGGGACAGGGGACGTACCAGGCCGAAGCGGCCCCTGGCTAATGTGGGAGAAAGCGTGCTGCTGGGGAGCTGCGGGGACACCGCAGCTTCCCACCCTGCCTCGCCCAGGGCTGTCACCCCGGGGCGGGTGCCGGCTCCATCGAGCCTTTCACCCCGTCCAGTGATTTTGGCATCGCTGCAGCGTGAGTGCGGCAGGGAACAAGGCCCAGTTGGCACCTCTGGAATAACACACGGTGTGAAACCCACCCTTGCATCGCCAAGGGACTGGTGGAGAAAGGGCGTGGGGGTTTGGAGGTGGCAATGAAGGGGCTGGTGTGGGTAGAGGCACCAACACCGAGTGGCACGGTTGTACAGCAAGGCGTGCCCACAGCTGGGGTGGTGGGAAGAGGCAGGAGGTGTCTGCTGTGCTTCCACGGTCACACAAGGATCTTGTCGTGCGATCCTGAACGCTCTGCTCAGGAGGAAGCTGGGCAGAGGGTGGGGGCCAGGTGATGAATTTGAATGAACATCCTAGCCCTCTTCAGTTTCCCTGAAGCCTCATCCCAAGCCATGGCTGTGGAAAAGGAGCCCCAAGCCCCCAAATCCTCTGACCTCTGCCACCATGTTTCATCATCTGATGGTGTGCAGATTGAGGGGACCAGAAACCTCCTAACATTCCCACACAGTGCTAGGTTCTCACTTCAGCTCATGGTAAAACTCTGGGCTGGATCTGCAACTTGGTTGTCAGGGGCAGGACATATCTTTCCACCAAAACTTTCCTCCCTTTGCATAATTTCTCTCTTTTCCTTCCTCATTTTTGGGCAGGGGAGTGGGACACCCCTTGTGGGGTGTCAAGGAAGAGGTTGGGTGCAAAGCATCACGTTATCTTCCTATAGGCCCGTTTTGCCCTTGCCCAAGCCACAAAAGGAAGCAGTTAAAGCTGTGGGCTGCCCAGTGGTTATGTTTGTTTTGGGCAGAGGATGGTATTTCCTCTGTGGATAGCTCAGATCTCTCCCTCCCATGCAGCGTGAAATGTCAGCTATGGTTGGTGCTGGGGAAGGGTGAAGGTGGAAAGTGTCTGATCCCAGGGGGCTGTTATTCGGTGCTGTAATCACACTGAAATACCGCACAGCTCTGTGATAGCCTAGTAGGGAATTCTGGCCCTAGGTTTCATTGTGATATTTGTCATTGTATGGCCAGAGAACCAAGAATATTTCTGCTTGGGTAGATGCTTCTGCCTGCAGCCAGTCCCCACATCTACTTTGAGGGCAGTGTGTTTGTTGCACCCTCTGCACCAAGCACTCACAGCACAGTTCCCACCAGACTGCTGAACCATAACTGTCCTCTGAACGGAGCTTGCACTTCTTCCCAGCCCTGACAGAGAAAGTGCATGAGGAACAGTAGCTCCCCAGATCAGTAGAGGCCTGAAGGAGGAAACGGAGCCTCCTTAGTCCCTCTCCCTCTGCGATCACACCCACCTGGAGCTGGAGGGCCCTGGAGCTCTTCCAGCCGGAGGGAGTACAAGCCTCAGCGGGAAGGTATTTGCCAGTTGGGAAGCGAGGATGCTAAGCCTATTTGCATTTGCCCTGCGGGCTATAATAGTTGCCTTGCAACATTTACAGAGATGGGCTGAGCCCATCGTGGTTGTGCTGGGGTGAAGCCCCACTGGCAGGCTTTCTGGAATTCCCAAGGAATGAGGTGTGGCTGGGCGCTTGCTTATAAGCTCGGCCCAGGTCCCCATTGTATTTTCCTGCTGCCCAGCTCCAGCGTTCTTCCGTAGTCTTCCTAGCGTGAGGCAGTGACAAGGACAAAGCAGTGGAAGCTGGGATGGATGACACGTCTGGGGTGAGCTCGTGGAAGGAGCCAGGCGAGTCGTCCCTGCCTCCCTCTCACCATCAGCTGATGTGAAGCAGCAGGAGAGAATGACAGGGTTCCTGTGCTGTTTGCAGTGCTGCCAGGACACAGCCAGCCCCCGGGGTGGAAATGCTTCCAGCCCTTGCCAGGGAGGTGTGGGGGGAGCATGGAGGAGTGGTGGAGTCCCCTTTGAAATGGGAAAAGGGTGGGTAGGTCTGGCTGTATTTTAGGAATGTGGGCTAGATCAAACATTGTTTGATTATTTTAAAGAGGGAAAACATAACCCTCCATCCCACATGGAAGGGGCTAATGTGATGAGGGTTGTGCCTGCTGTGGGGTCCTCTGGCAGGCAGACGTCGGAGTCCCCCTGTAGCCTGGAATGGTGCTAGAAGGGTGTAAGCCCTGTGCCAGGGGAGGGCTGGTGGCGGGTGCTGCTGGTGTTGCTTTCTGCCAGGGAATGCGGTGGAGTCTCCCCTCAGGGTCCTCACATCAGCTTCAGAGGGAATTAAAAAACGCTGTTTGTTTGGAGGTTTTTGCCTAGCTGATCATTCGAGACCCTGCTGCTAAGATTCCTTGCCATGGTCAGTGTGGAGGTACTCAGAAAGTTCTTATCTCCTGGGCAGAGGACCAGATAGCTGTGTGCTTCCCTGCCATTCCCAAACTGGTACTGCTGCTACCTTTCTGTCCTTCTGTGGAGTCACACGTGGGTGTGTGTACGCACACTAGCACAGAAAAGGGAACTGGAGGAGTCCTCACCTTGGGAGTACCCTTGACTGGTTTCTTTGAGCCCTGAGGGTCTGCCTTCCCTGCTGGTTGCACAGTCTTTGCTCCCTCCTCTGTACCTGCTGTGCTAACAAGAGACTCACCTTCAGGCAAGACTCTGAAACCCTTTACCAAGGGAGGACTGGAGCATAGTCCTGCATATTTCCTGCACTACCTTGACAGCAGGTGATGGTGAGGGGGCCTTTCAGCATCCCTCATGATCAAAAGCATATGTTGGCAGAAAACTCCAGAGGCAAGAGGTGGTGGGGTTAGAGAGGAGGCAGGTTTTGGGGGAGTGCATGTGTGGGGAGCAGGGCAGGAGAATGTCTTGTTTGCAGGGCATTGCTGCATCTGTGTTGGTTTGCAGTGGCCAAGCAGCGCTGCTGGATGTCTGGGAGGAGGGAGGCAAAGCTGATGTGCCAAGACGCCCCAGCGTCACAGCCACAGCACAGGGTGCTGCAGGGCCGGCAGGGCCCCTGCCCAGGTGCTCTGCTGGCTTCTGTCAGATGTACTGTGGCATGCCCTTCACGCACCAGCACCAGCACCCTGCTCAAGAAGGGGAGTGGACGTCCCTGCCAAGGGACTGGCAGATTAGGGGGTGCCCCTGCAGCTCAGGGAAGAGTCAGGAACTGGGGGGCAGTGGGAGGGAGGGAAGAACAAACTTACTTTCTTCTAAGAATTCAGGGCCTCGCAGGAATACGAGGCCAGGCCTTGGGGCACTTGACAGCCAGCCAAGAGTCCATTGAGACAAAAGTCTTCTTTGATCTGCCGCACAGTTAAAAAAGGAGATTGTTAACCTGTGTTAGACAAATAACTCCAGAGGAGCTGCTAAGCAGGAAAAGCACCAGCTGCTTGGGCTAGTCTGTCAGGGATCCCACATCTTGCAATGCTCCTCCACCTTCTGATCCCATAGGATCAGGTGGACATGGCTGATGGACCTCTGCGTCCCTGTGTCACATCCCCACGGGTGCCCTAAGCCTGGGTGTGTGTGGTGCCCTGATCTCAGAGGCTCTCAGGCATAGTGCTGGGAGGCCAGAGGCATGGCTGTTCCCAGTGACAGATCCCAAAGGGAGCAAGGACAAGGTGTGGCAGCTCAGGTTGTGTAGCTGTTCTTAGGCCAGCTTTGGACTTGGTTCTGCACTACAAGGGTAAAGGAAGGAGCTTCACAGGCTTGCAGTTGTCACTAGCAGAGTTGCCTTACAAAAATGGGGGAGGAGAACAGGATTATGAGCCATGTGGGCTGGTGTTACACCATAGGCATGCTGGTAGTATCTGCATCAAGAAAAAATTGGCGTCTAAAACTGCCGCTGTGAGCAGGGAGTGGAGCTTATTCCTGCAGGCAGTCCCCAGAAATCCTGAGGGCCTGCATTTGCAATCCCTGATTCATATCTGTTTCCCCTGCTCAGATAGCAAGGTGACACCTCCCAGCTCGCTTCCAAAGTCCCCGAGTCTCGTAACACCTGCCCACGCTCTCCCCCAGTGACTGCTGGAGTTTAAAATAAAGTTCCATTTCCTACACGTATTAAGTGTCAGGAAGGACCAGGGGCGTCCGTGCAGAGCAGCATTCGTACACAAATGCATTTAGCTGACAGGTGCAAACATTAAAAGCCTGCAATTTCACTACCCAGCGCTGAGCTCTGACTGCAAGTACCGGGAATTGCAAATGATCCCTTTTCCAGTAAACGTGTGTGGCACAAGGCAGGGAAGTGCTGCAGAACCTCTCTGGCACTGGGCTGTTGGTCCCCCTCTTCCTCACGCAGCAGGAGTTGTCAGAAGGCATCTTCATTTCACAGCTATTCAGTGATCCCTGAATTATACAAGTCTCTCTCTTGCTGTGTATTCATCACTGATGCTGCTTCCCTCTCCCTCAGAGACTGAAGAAGTAATGCCTGGGGATGTAAAATCTGCTTTTTGCTGCAGGCAGAGAGCCAGATCTGTGGTGAGATGTGACAGTGACAGGGATGGACCGGGGCAGGGGGGCTCGATCTGACTCAAGCTCTCTGGGGGATCTGGCTGCACAGGTTCAGGACACTAGTGTTGTCTGCTCTGCAGCTCTCCCACGAGGTTTCTGCCCCATAACTTGGGCTGCAGCAGCCTTCGCGCCACCGTGTCCTAGTTGAGTACTACAGGGTGGTCTGGCAGGGCTGAGGAGGGACCACTCCTGTTGCCCTGCTATAGAAGTGAACAGTGGGTGTCCAAGGGACAGGCATATGTGAGAGAGTGCCAGGCTCAGTCAGCCATGCAAAAGTCCTCAAGCTTTAAAGCCAACGTTTAGCCACCTGCCTGGTGGGTTTTCTCAGCTTTGATCGGAAGGGAAGTGTTCTGCACTGAACACAGGCAGGGAGAGAATAGCTGCACACTGGAGGACCACACACATGCCACCATAAAAACTCACAAGAAAATCTCTGTGTTTCACAAGCACACGAGCCAAGCTCTCCTCTCAGTTACAGGGGCATGTGTAGGGCTGTGGCTCAGACACCATCCAGCACCCAGCTGAAAGAGCAGCTTTTCCGCTTGAGTAGCCCTGAATGAAGAGAGCTGGGAGCAAAGCAAACACTTTGGCCAGTACTTTCCTCCATCTCTTTTTCTAGTCTTTCGGAAGTATGTTTTAATCAGCACTTGCTTTCCCACACCGCTCCTTTGTAGTCTTGTTAAGTGCTGTCACTGGGACCCACTCAGAGTAAAATTCCCAAGATGCTGATGGCATTGCACCTGCCTGCACAAACTCTGAATTTGGCCCATTGTCTGATGTTGCTAAGCCTGCTAATTTAAGTTTTTTTGGTGCTGGTATGCAGTGACATCCCAACTCCCATATGTATCTTACTCCAAATCAGCTCCTCAGCCCACCACCTCCCTGCAGTCTTTGTGGTTTCACTGTGGGCTCATGCTAGAGCAGCCTCAGCTGTGAAGGTCAGTCTTCCTCTCCACCCCTTATCTTTTTTTTTTCCTTAAAAAAGAGTATGCAAATGATGTATATTATTGGGCCTCTGTGGTTTGAAAACACGCGCACGCACACGCACATACACACGATAACTGACAAAGCCCGTGAGGGAGTTTCATAACAGAGGGAAATATTGGGAAGGTTTTATCTGATAGTGTAAGGGAAGTCTGTTAAAACGCCTTTACTGCAGGCAGCAGGAATGAGAAGCCACCTGGAGAACTCATACAGCACCGGAGAAGGAAGCCTTGTTGGCTGCTCGCATAGTGTTCAGGGCTCTGCTGCACAGCCTGGGTATTTTTTGGCTTTTTTAGTCTCCAGACAACTTTGTGAGAGACACCAAGACGGGCTCTCTTGCTTTTGTTTAGGTTTCAGGCTCATGCCTTCATGAGGTGCAAAGCCCTGAAGGTTTAAAAGCCAACGCAAGACAACGCGTATCTGCATTTTGCTGGTTGTGTCTCCTGCTTGCTTGCTTACCCCCATTCTGCTCCATGACCCACTCAGTATTTGCAGATCACCTCTCTAATGCTTGTTTCTCCCTTTCTTTTTTTTTTTTTTTCATCTGGCAGGGGGACCCCATACCTGAAGACATTTACGAGATTTTGGGTGGCAGATCAGTGCGCTCCATCAGTGACCTCCAGCGTGCCCTGCGGATAGACTCCGTAGGTAAATCTCTTCACCAAACACTCCTCTATTTTTTCTTAAGTCTTTGGGGGGTTGGGCAGGGATATTCCATTTTCCAGCAGGCACGTTATCAACACTGATAGACCTCACTGTAAATATAGGGACCATTTAGGAGCCAGGACCTGGTTATTTACACACCTAGTCCCCTTGAAACTTGTGGGAGTTAAAGGCAATTAGATGCCTTTTTAGATCTCCTACTAGCTGTCTGGTCTAATGAGGGTCACTGGCTTCCAAAAATAATAGGAGCTGGGCAAGGTGAGTCCAAAAAACTGAGGTCAACACTTTTCACCCAGGCAGGAGGGCTTAAACTGGACACAGATCAGTTTAGGAGGTGGCAAAATGGGAGGTGGAAATAGGGTGACAGAGGAGGGAAGGGCTGAGTGGGTTTTCAGGTTTAGCATCCACAAAAGGCCATGGGCTCCCAGAGGCTCTTAGGATAAGCGCTGCAGAGCACGTGTCCAGGGGTGAGATACGGGACAGGGGCTAAGTCAGGGTACCATCGCTTCACCTTCTGCCCGTAGATAAGAGCTCCAGGGGCTGCAGTGCCGTGGGGTCACTTGGCCGGGGCTGAGTGCAGTGAGCAGCAGGAGCAGCGAAGCGTGGAGGGGTCGGCACGTGTGGGAACTGGAGCACGCGCCACGGCGGCTGGGCTGGCCCAGGAATTTATTTATAAACGATCTCTTCAGAGCAAATTCCTTTCTATTCTAACCCTGCTCCCGCCCGTCGTCCCCCAGCCCCCCCAGCTCGCCTTCTCTCTCGTGTTTTGTCTGTTTGGAGCTTTGTAATCCTTGCCGAGACACTATCTACGGGGGAACAGAATTTCCTGCTTTTGTTTCCTATGCCAGTCCAACCACTGGCGCAGTCTCAAAAGCATTCCCGCTGCCTTTCAAAACGGCCCTGGAGGGGCAGGGGGGGAAAGCGAGGGGGAGGGCACCAGCTGCGTTCAGCTATTGTTTGTCTTAGAAAGAGGCGACGAGGCTCCCCACCACTGCCAGGGCCACTCCCTGCCCTCACCAGTTCCCTCCTCCTTGTCCACGAGCCACACAATGGGGCAACTTCCAAAATTAGCCGTTCTGGATTGTCCCAGGCTAGTCCCCCCCATCCCAACTGTCTTCAATGCTGACCTGGGGTGTAGAAGGACAACCTGGAGGAGGGAGGGACATGGTTTTCAATAGGAGATTCCTTTCTTGTCAACAGTTGTTGCTATTTTCCCCCTCCATTTCTGTCCTCTCATCAACTCAACCTGTGCTCAAAAGGCACTGTGTGTGTCATTTCCCCCCATGTGATAAAGTCCAAGGCAGCAGAGGATGGAGAGGTGGGGAAGGAGCAGCTGAGAAGATGTGTGCAGTCTGTTACAGCCTGGTGTCTAAGGAACAGATAATCTCTATCACAGTTACTAACCACCCTCATGGCTAAGAAATAAAATGGGCTTCTCTTGTTGTCTCGAGAAGCCCAGAGGTATGGGAGAAGTCTGTGGAGCTTTGAGTCACTGGTTTCACTTCAGGTCCCCTATGGGAAAGGCTGGTGAGGGAAACAGAAAGTGGTGCTGTGAAGCAGTTTCTTCGTTGCACTCCGTGGCTCTCATCTGCTCCTAGATACTGAGGGGCATTGACATTTGCTTGCTCTGTGTGGAATTAGAGTATTTGCTAATTAGTATGTTATCAAAATAATACCAAAGTGTCTGGAGCTATTCCCTGTGCTATCCATGCACCCTGTATGTGTCACAGCTGCTTCTCTCCACCAACTGCACAAGCAGCCAGAATGAGGCAGCTCCAGGAGGCAGATGAGCTGAGATAGTGCTCTCCTGACCTTAGACACAACTGTAGACCCAACAACAGAGGTGTGTAGAGTGGGAGTCATCTCCCTTAACTGTGGCTGCCTGCAAAGTAGGTGTATCATCTAAGCCAGTCATCCAGGCATCTTCTCTAGCCCCAGGAGAACTACAGGCCCTTCTTCAGTGTGATCCACCAGTTCTCCTTCTGGACATCTGCCTCAGGGAGAGATAAATAGCAGCTAGAACTGATCACACCTCTCCAGCTGCTTTAAAGGGTGTCTGTCTGTCTCTCCACCTCACGTGTAGATGTTGACTGCTCAGGCATATATGATTCCTGCCTCTGTGCACCTATCCCCAGTCCTTCAGCAGCTGCTGCAGAGCTGAGCAGAGAGCAAAGTCTCTGCTTCCCCTTATAAGAGGGCTGCACTAGGGTAGGGCTGAGGAAGGGGAATGGGACATAACAGGTAAGGGAAGTCCGTTCCACCACGCATCTGATAAACAGAGATCTTCCACTGGCCCCAAATTCCCTTTAAGAAAATTGCTCCCTTGATGCTGACGTCCATTCAGTTTCCTTCAGCTGCTAAAGCAGGTCAGAGAAGGAAAGAGCTGTGGCTGGGTGGGAGCTATCTTCGAGTGCAGCCATTGTCCGGAGCTCAGGAGGGGCTGCGTGTTGGAGTGCTCCATGGGGATTATGGGCATTTCTCTATTCAGCACTTCCTATGGGAAAAAGCAGTGGGGTGGGAGGGAACCGCTCAGGGCTGGCCTGAATGCTATCGGTCTTCCTCTCCCATCGCTGACTGAACCAACTCCAGATCCTGCCACTTACCTAAGAGTAGTATAGAGGAAAAGTAATTTTAACTCTATTTTTCTGTTATTCTGTCACAAAACTGCTCTAACCTAGAGCAGCTGAGGTGTGGTGGGAGGGAGAAAGCAAGCACTCCACCTATCGCACATCACCTCCTTCACCTGCCCTCTCACCTCCCAGCTCTCCCAGTCCCAAGCCACCCCTGCAAGGCACCTCAGTGTTATATACCAAATGTTCTGCTGATTCTATTTGGTCTTTGATCCTCCTTGCTGTATCTTGGTCTCAGCTGGCCGATCTGAATCCCTCTGCTACTCCTCTCTGATACCAAAAAGCCCTGGCATGGACCTTATCGTTCTTGAGCTGGAGTTTTCCTCCTCCAGACCTGACTGGGACCCCTCTTTCATGATAAGCTTGTTGCTTTGAGCTGCCCAGTCTGAGCCAAGGGCAAACCTAGAGTGTGCTCCAGCACAGCTGTGACCTTGCTGGTGGGTTTACACCTAGCGTGATGTTCCGGGGCTGTGGCTTGTGCCATGTCCCTCCACTTTGCCTGATGATCTGAGCACAAGTGCCTGCTGTCTTCTCCTGCCTGTACCTGGTGCTATAAGGTCATGTCTTTCCCTTTGCAGAGCAGGATAGCTCGAGCCTGAGCCTGAATGCAACTCAGCCTGGTCAAAACCCTGTGGCCCTGTCTCGAGAGCGACGAAGCCTAGGTGAGTCAGGGGTCTTGCACCTCGTGATTGTTGCAGCACTTAGCAGCCATGGGTGGGTGCAGACGAGTGTCTGAGATACAGATGTAGGGGTAGAGGTTGTAGTGAGCGTGTATGTGTACGCAGATGAGAATGAGGATCTGGGCCTTGACTAGGAGCTGGGTGTTACACCCCAGGAGGGCAGGAGAGGGAGTCTGGAGCTCTTCAAGCTGCTCTGCTTTAAATCCTGCCAGTCCTGGTTTGCTCTAAAGAACTGTCATCTCCTGCCTAGGACTGTGCTGCTGCAGTGAGAAGCATCATTCTACCGGGACCTCCTCCACAGGGCATGGCTTTGTACAGGGAGGGAGCTGGAGGGGTGGGAGAAGGAGAAAGAACATGTGTGTGTGTGTGTGTGTGTGTGTGAGAGCCATGCAGGGTCTTTCTCTTCCAGCAGAGGTGGCCGCAGTGGGTTGGTAACAGCTGCGAAGCCCATTTCATCCCCCGTTATTCTCTTGGCCCTCACAGATGCCCTGGCAGCAGCAGAGACAGCTGTCCTTGCGGAGTGCAAGACGCGGGAGGTGGTCTTTGAAATCTCCCGCAACATGGTGGACAGCACCAATGCCAACTTTGTGGTGTGGCCGCCCTGTGTGGAGGTGCAGCGCTGCTCCGGGTGCTGCAACAACCGCAACGTGCAGTGTCGCCCCACACAGATCCGTGTCCGGCACGTCCAGGTAAGGGAGACACCTCCCGCTGCTCCCTCCTCCTGCCGCCCACTGCCATCTCAATGCCCCAAAACCAAGCCCACGGTGGGTTTCAGATGCAAGGCTCACGCAGCTGCCTGCCTTGCACCCTGTCTGTGGTCACAACCTCTGCACTGGCCATGCAGCGCTGCAGCCACTGGTGCCGGTCACGTCCATGCCAGCTGCTGGGAGGGCTGGTGCTGTCCAGCAGCTGGGGACTGTCACCACGTAGAGCCACAGGGCATCATCCCCAGCTGCAGCTCCATGCCATGGGTCTTTCTATGGCTCGAGGCAGCCTTGTCTACTGCATTAGAGCAGAAGAAATGGGGTGCTTTCATCAGGGGAACTGTTTTTGTTGCAAAAAGAGGAGGGCTTGCAGCGTCAGTCTCCTTCCCCCCACTGCTGCTGCAGCTTCTTTCCAAGACATGCACTGAAGCAGCTTCTCCTTCTCAGCCCACAGTTACCTCCTGACCTGCTCCAGCAGCCAGCAGGCACCTGATGGCTAACCTCTTGCTCTGATCCTCCCCTCACAGCTACCAGTGATCTCCTCACAGCTTCCTCCCAGACAGCTTGTTTAAAAATAATATTCATCCCGTACTAATCCTCTGCCTGAGCTGTAAGAGACTCCCCCGGGCAGGCAGCAGAGGTTGGCTGGGAGAGATTGTATTCACACAGCCCTTTTCATCAGGAAATTCCTTTCTCAGAAAAGCCAGGCTGAATGAGGGAAAAATAGGGGGGAGCAGGAGTTGTTTTTCTGGAAAAAAACAAGTGAGAGGTCAAAAGCCAGCCTGAAAAAGTGACCTGGAAATGGTTTCTTTGAGGACAGAGGTCTCTCTATTGTTTGGCTGGAAGTGTTTGTCTAGTGAGCAGCGTGTGGTCTGAAGTGTGTGGAGTGGGCTTTCAAGGAAAGATAAACAGCCTGGCTGCTTCAGCACTGGCTGAGGGATGCTGCTGGGGGCAGTGGGTTTAGAGGAATTCCATCCCAGACACACGGCGCAGTGAGTATTTATAGCTTGCGGAGCTCCTCAGGGACCGCAGGCTTGTTAGATAAGCTGAGTGGGGTCAGGCCCGGCCGCTGCTGGAGTGGGAGGACCCCCTAGAAAGCTTGTGCCCTGTGGTGGGATGTGGAGCAATGTGTCTTCCCTCTGACTCAGCACTGGTGGAGAGTCCGAGGGAATTTCCAGAGCACCGCCTTTCCCATGAAACACAGAGCTGAGGGCTTCAGCCCCGCAAGTTATTAAAGAGCTTGAGACAAATTCAGACAGGCCTCAGCAAAGCTGGTGAAGCTATGTTAGCTTGCATTGGGCCTGAGTTTTTCTCCTTTTGCTCTTTCTGTAATTTGCTGTGGGAGTTCGTTCTGGTTGCCCCCGGGTCTCCACCATCACATCTGTCAGAAACAGGATAGCAAGCTCTCCATGCTCCTTGTTTCTGTCTGTGATCAGCCAGTCATCCTGCTTGAGCAGCAGCAATAGTTAGGAACAGGAGAGCCAACCAGAGACATCCAAACTTGTCTGGTCTGGGTCTGCTCTGCTGGTATGTTCAGAATTATTTGCTGTACACACCACCCCCAAACTTGAACCATGCTTCGTAAGCTGCCTTCTGACCCTTTAGGAAGAAAACCCGTACTGAAGAACATTGACACTGATTGTTTTTACAGAGTGGGAGCCCAGCTGTATTAATCTTTTGCTTGCTTCTCTCTTCCAAACAGGTGAACAAGATCGAATTTGTCCAGAGGAAGCCAAAATTCAAAAAAGTTGTTGTGCCTTTGGAGGACCATGTGCAGTGTCGGTGTGAAGCTGTGTTCCGACCGCCTCCCAGGAACATCCGTCCAGGGCCACGTGAACAGAGACGTAAGGATCTTGGCATTAGTAGAATGGAGGGAGGCATGAGAAGGGAGGCTGGGGAGAGAGGGAAGAGCCCTCCACTGGTTTCAGTCTACTTAGCTACAGTGAATCCCACAGGCCTTCGCTGGTTTATACCAGCTGAGGGACCTTTCCCAGGATGTCTGCCTGCCAGCAAGGGGCTGAAACTGAGGGAAATGAAGGAGGGGAAGGTGAGAGGTGAGGGGAAGGGCATGGTGGGAAAAGGGAGAGGGCAGAGACTGTGGAGAACAGAGGACAAGGGACAGAGGAACAGAAAGAGGCCTTGTGGCCCTTCTGTTGCAGAGCTCTTTGTTGACAGGGTGCGGAGAAAGATATTTCAACATGAGCCGGCTGCCCCTCGCTGTACAGACACTCTCCCCTCTGTTTTGGCAGGCTTGTCACCATCGTTCACCACAGCCGCTGTCTCTCAGAGGCAGCGAGTACGCCGGCCGCCGGCACAGAAGAGGAAACATAAGAAGTACAAGCATGTCAACGATAAGAAAGTGCTGAAAGAAATCCTCATAGCATAGAAGTGCTGGCAGGGGAGACAGAGCACAAGGCAGGTAACAGCAAGCTACTCTTCCAGTTGGGAGAGATGTCCTCCCGGGACATGGCATCTTGGACCCTTCCCACAGCACTGGCCACTTATTCAGCGTGGGGCTACTGCAGGATCAAACCTGGGCTGAAGAAGGGGGAAGGACTAGGTTGGGTGCCAACATACGCGTCCTATTTACGCCTTTAAGTTGGAAGGATCAGGCCATCCTTGCTCTAGCCATCCTTGCTCTTGGGCCCTGCCCTCTCCCTTCCCTGCCTTCCTTACAGACAGAAAACAAGCCTGACTTCTCTCTACACCTAAATCCCCTCAGGGTCCATGTAATTCATCTCTTCTGTGGAGCAACTCCCATCCTCCTTTCTCTATTGATTCTCCATCAAAAGCAGAGAATCAGCGTTGCTCTGGGGATCTCTTTTCCTTTTATTTCATTAGTTGAGTTGGCAGAAAGACTGAAAAGGAGCAACACTTTCAGTTCATCATTTGCCTAGCGGGAAACCTACGTGCATAAGAAAGGTCATAGCAGGGAAAAGGAGAACTGGAATCTCTGGCAAGAGATCTGGACTTCATCAGGCCAGGGTCTGATTTTTCTCTCCATGACTTGTGTAAACAGGAGTAATTCCCTCATCATCAGAAGAATTTCACTGGAACAAGGGAAAGGAGAATAAGCCCTGCTTCCCCATGAGAGGGAAAGGTACAGAAAAGAGAGAAAGAGTAGAGAGAGGCAACACAGCTTAACAGGGAGAGCCCTGACCCATGGCTCAGTGGTTCCAGCTCTGCTGCAGCCCCTTGAATGAGCCCAGGACACTGACTTCACATTCACTTCCCCTCACCTGGGAGAGGAGATGGCAGGCTTCCATTTGTGGCATTTCAGGCGCTGGGGGAAAGGGGCACCTGGCAGTGTCTCGGGATTGGGATTCCCATGCTTAGTGCTATGAGGGCTCGAATTATCCCAGGATTCTGCTGGTTGGCCTAAAGTTCCCAGGGTAGAAAATGATGCAAACCCATGCAAATCTCAGCTCTGGCTCAAGCTGCTCAGGGTAAAAAATAGCGAAGGTCAAAAGTCCTTCCGGCCTTCTAATCTGGCATTTTGACACAAACATTTCCAGAGGAGAAAAGGGAATAGAAAAGTAGTTGCAGGGGGAAAGAGTTACATATTCTAATGCTGTGTTTGGTTTTGTTTCACTTCCAGGTTTATTTAATATATTTGCTGTATTGCCCCCATGGGGTCGTTGGAGTGATAACTTTTCCTCTTTGTCCATCTGCCTCGACGTCTGATTCAGACGGCAATTGGTGCTTCCCTTTCCATCAGTGGACCTTCTCCCCCCAAAGCCTCCCTTCTTTCATTTATTAGCATAATTTTAAAGTTTTACACACACACACACACACACACACACAAAAGGACAAAGATGACCTTTATATATATATATTTATATATATATATGAGAAAAGAACAAAGTACAAATAAAACCACGAACGCCAACAGCCACAACTTGTGACGAGGACAGGACAATGCCTTCCTTGCTACAGAGGACAGGATGGAAAATGTGAAAAGGAAAGTGGGTCCAATGTCTTCTAAGGGAAGGAGAAGACCGCATGGACAGAGGGTAGAAGGGGAACATTCTCCCTTTTCCTCATGCTTCTGGTAAGGCTGGGGGGCCCAGTTGAGATCTACACTTGCACTGGACCTACATTTTGGAAACAGGCACGTCTCAGATTGCAAGCGGCGACCAATGATGGAAAATGCACTAAGGACTTTTATCGGCCTACCTGGACAGATATATATTTTTAATGTGCGTGTGTATATTTTATTTTAAAAGAGAAAAACCAAAACCACTAAGATATACAACATCTCGGGGAACAGAACAAACAAGCAAAGAAACAAAACAAATACAAAACAAAGAAGCCAAATGCATTCCCTCCCCCTCCCCTTCCCCTCCTGCTCCTGGTGCTGACTGGAAGGTGTTTGGATCGTGGGGAAGGAGCACATGGCGGCAGAATCGTCTCCACACCCCCGGCCCCTGCCAAGAGGAGCCATCTTTGCACATGCTTGTGGAGAATTCAACTTTCCAGGCTTGGACTCAAATTATTTTTTAAAGTTGCTCTGTATGTGTGCGCGTGTATATGTGTGTGTGTGTGTGTGTATATATCTATATACGTGTGCGTGTATGTGTGTATGTGTATTTATACATGCATATATAAATATATATATATAAATATGTTCTTAAATGGGTTTCATTCCCCAGTGGCAGGAAGCTCAGAGGCACGTGCATGCATTGGCTTCACTGGTCTGGCAGAAAAGCACACTGTTACTGCAACGTGCCTGCGAGGCCCAGGATGAGGCAGGCAGAGGCATCATCTGATCTCTCTCTCTCTTTTGTTGCCCTTTTCTCTCACTCTGCACCATCCCCCCAGCACAACTTCCTTGCAGGAGGCGAAGTGGCACCACAAGAAGACCAAGGACAGCCAAACTTAGAAGCATGACTTAATCTCAGTGAGCTGTCCTTGCCTGCTCTGTGGTCCTGAAAGCAGAATCATGTTATTCCCATGAGGTTTTTAACCCCTTCTTGGGTGTCATGCATGCCATGCCTCCCCTGATCTCTCCCTGCCAATGTCTCTACATCTCCCATTCTTTTCCTCTCATTTTTCTTCTCAAATTCCTTCTTGGTCTCTTTGCCCATTAGATGATCCCAAGTCACCTAGTTTGGAAGTTGATCCATGATGTGGGCAGCTCTGTGTAGCTACAGAGAAAGAAATGAGGGTGGTCTTTGCAGTTGGCAGTAGCCATCTGAAACAGAAATGAGCTCTTCTAAGTGAGGAGGACTTGGAGAACAACTTGGAGGGTCAGTTGTAGAGTGCCTCCTGGGCCAGTGCCTATCTCCAAGGAGGGAGGAGGACTGTGTGGGCAAGGGCTGTTTCTGCACACCTAATACTCAGTCACCATTAGCAGAAAGGTTACATACGGTGGAAATTCCCAGCTTCACCTTGGAGTCATGATCTCAGATGGTGCCATGCTGGGTACTGCAGTTACTCATGAAGAAAACACCTGCCAAGAGTGATTGCAGCCATCCCCCTGCCCCTCCTGCCTCCAGCCACTTCTCCCGTCACATACACACCCCCCTACTGCAGGGTAAAGCCCTGGAGGGAGTCTGGGGAAGAAGCCAAAGCCACAACCTGGGAGCTGTTACAAGTTGTGGAGGAACCCAGTCCTCACCTCCTGCAAGCCCAGAGCACTTCTTGTACCAATGCCAAGGTGGCACATTTCTCCCTCCCTCTATCCCCAAGCCCTCAAGTCTTAAGATACTTTGTTTTGCTGTTCCAAAGTAATTTCTTTTGGTTTGTAAAGATGTTTTATTTTAATTTTTTTGCCTTTTTTTTAATGTAAGATTAATTTATACTCAGTACTGTATTTAAAGTTGTAAAAAAAAAAAACAAAAAAAAAAAAAAGAAAAAAAGAAAAAAGGAAACCACCTCTCAAACAGCATTTTCTCTTTCTTTTGTGAGCTAAATGAAAAGCAGAGGCCAAACCAGCTCACCGCAGAGCACAGCAGGATTCCCAGGCCCTCCAGTTTCCTTTTCAGGACACTTGTTCTGAGATTGCAGAGAGAAGCAACCAAAGCTGGGAAAGTCCTGAGAGCCCATGCACAGCCCTGCCCACAGCCGGCTGTGCTGTGCTCCTCCTTCCTCTCTTGGGCTGGTTTGAAATGACTCAGGTGCTGGGGATTTTGTCTCAAAGAGGTCCCCTTCTCCTTAGCTGCTCTGCTTGGACACCCGGCCAGAATTTCCCTGTGCTTTCATCTTATCTCCGGATTCCTCTGCTTTGAAGGGCTTGGGACAGTCGGCACTGTTTACACTCCCCAAAGCTGTACAAACAGTCAGCCCTTTCCCTCCTTAGTCACCTCGTCTAGACAACAGCAGTCCTTCCCTCGGTCGGAAAGGCCGCTTCGTTTCCCTTTCCTCCCAGCAAAGGAGGTATCACATATCTGGCACTTGGATGCGTTGCGAGGCTGTGAGGACTGAAGGCAGCTGCTGCCCTGTGCCTCAATATTGGGGTCCCCTCAGCACCCCTAGTCCATGGCTCGGCTATGAGGAACGTAGACCCAAGTGGGGACTTGTGCTGAAAAAGGTGAATCCAGGGACCTCAGTGTGTAGGAGTGTTCCAGGCTGTCCTTAAAGGGCACACCTGGCGCTCCCAGGTGTGCATCCTGCTGGACATGGACCATTTTGGGGTGATGAGATGTTTTCCCTGATCCTCCAAAGGGAGTTGGAGTGAGGGTGAGCTTTATCTGCTCCCAAGGATGGAAAGCACAGGCAAAATCCCAATTAGGATAGTAATCACATTCCCACTTAGGATAATCTGGTGAAAAAAGAGAGTTTTGGCGTGAGACTTCTTTGCGCTTGAGGGTCTTTGGGAAGTTGGGAAGCAAAGGGAATTTGGGAATTCCCAAATTTGGGGAATTTGGGAAGCAAAGGGTGCAAAGAAGGGTATAAGGGACGGAAAGCATGGGTCCATCATCCTACACCAGGAGTGGGAAAAAGGAGTTGGCATCCCAAGGGTCCAGCACACCAAGGCAGTCCCTGTGCAATCCCATCTGCTTGCTCGCATCTCTGCTTTTAACAGCTCGAAACTAATCAGTGCTGAAAGACGCCACGGGCCGGGGTGCCTGGAGCCAACACCTCCACGGCACATGGCGTCACGCGATCAGCTGCTCCCTCAGATGCAAGGTTGGACGCCGTTTGCTTTCCACACAGGTCAGCACGGGGTGTGGGAAGGAGGGCACCTGTGCCACTGCTCAGGGCTGGAGCCCGTGGTTTGCGTCCACCCTGCAAAGCCAAGCTCAGGAAATAAATCCTGGGAGGGCTGCAGGACACCACCAGAAAGCATCTCGGTGTGGGGATGCCAGCTTGGTGCACTCGGTGCTTCAGAGGAGCCAGGGAGTCTTGGCAGATCTCCTTGATTTAATTGCTCAACTGCTGCTTCACCTAAAGGCCCATTCTCGGGATATGTCATTCAACAGGAGGTTCATCTTTTGATGCAGGAAACGCATCCAGCCTTCCAGGCAGTGGAGAGAGGCTTTGGCAATAGATGCTCCTGTGATAGCATGGCTCACGAAAGCAGCAGTCAGGGGGAGAGCGAGGCTGTTCAGGTGCAAAGATCAAACCCCTTTGAGTTTTAAAGGTAGACTTTGGGGTTTTCACCATCAACAGTTTGCAACACTAAAGCTGTTGCACAGCTAAATGCAGAGAAAAATCAGTTTGCAAGAGTTTCCTCACCAGGCCAGGGAAAACCCTTGACTGCCTATTTTATTGGTGTCCAGGAATACAAACTGCTTAATCTCAGCCCCAGGCCTGGCTGTGGCTCCAAGGAAGAGCCTTCTCCCGCCCAGCCACGTGAAATGAAGCCCACACAGGCATTCTCCTCCCTGTGCTTAGCTTGTGCCTCCTTCGCATAAGCCGTGCCCCCTTCTCGATGGCCACCCTGTCCTGCTGCCCAGCCTGCCAACACTCTCAACATGGCTGGAGGGGGCTTGGTGGAAACCACTGACATCCCTCTTTATCCCAGGGTGGAACAGGGATGTGTTGGAAGGTGGCTCCATTTCACTGTCCATGCACCAGTATCTGGTGGGCCCTGGGGGCAGAGAAGCCAGCTGTGCCAAGGGAAAAGCAGGTACAAAGAAGGAGGAAAATACGAATCATTAAAAGCTATTTAGGAAAAAAAAAAGAAAAACCACAATAAAAACCCGTTTCCAGAGCATGCAGCTGTTCCCCGCTCTCCTTCACATAGCCCGTGACCAAACGGTGCTGCCCCTCCCTAAACTCTGATCTGCCCGTGACCAAGTGAACTTGTTGCAGGCTTGGGAATTTCCCATCTTAAAAGACATTGTGGGGAAGCCAGGCAGCTTCAGCTGTTTGTGGATTTTTTCACAAGGTTAAAGGAGCAATAGAGCTTCCCAAACATTGAATGCTGAGAGTGTGTGAACTGAAGGGAACCTCAAATGCTGGGGCGTGCCTGCAGGTAGTGCAGACGCTGGGTTAATGCAAGGAATTAAAAGTCACAATAGTGGATCCATGGAGCTCTTGGCAGAAGAGCCAGGAGGGCAAAGATATGAAAATATAAAATGATGGCAGGGCTCACCTACCATTTTTCCTATCCTAGCCAGGCAGAGACCAAATGAGATTCTCTGGCGTGATGGACTGCCTTGGATTCACAGCAAGGGTTGGAGTAAAGGCAGCCCCAAGGGAAGCAATCCTGCCTTTTTTATTACTTTTTTATTACTATCTCAATAAAGCTGTTTGCAAGGGATTAAGCAGCAACCCAAACACAGCAGGGACCTGGGCAGCGGGAAGGTTTGTGGTTTGACAGTCAAAGCACATTTCGAAATATTTG